ATGTCTTAAGGTAAATAGATGATTATAAATGAAAAATTTTAAAAGCACGCCAAGAAAAATCATTCTACTCTTGAATCCAAGTAGTTAGATGCATCCGACACTTTTAAATTTATTTTTTGTCGATAATAATTAAAACAAGAACAAATATATATATATATATATAATTATATATATAATTATATAAATTATTGAATTTTCGTAATCACAAATTGATTTTTATCCATTTCTCAGAATCTAAACCTGTTGATGCCATTTTTTTATGATAATAAGGACGAAAAAGGAATATAAAACTCAATTTTCAGAAAAATAAATTAAATACAACAAATTTGAAAGGCGAATTACCATATTAGAAAAAGACAAAATATTTTTATTATTGTTTAACTACATTGAGCACTGTTTTGTCTATTCTAATTAAATCAAAAATTGTTTGTTCACTTTTATGTGTACGTAATAAGTTACCCATATACTTGATCATATGGACAAGAAAGTTTCTACATCTGTAAAATCTGGCTTTAAAAAAATATTCTCTCCCTCTCTCTCTCTATATATATATATATATATATATATATATATATATATATATATATATATATATTTGAAACTTGACTAATGCATGGAATAATAATGCAACACAAAATGTACTTAGAACAAAATGTATTGAAACAAGTAAGTGTACACAATATTTACATATAGTCTTTTGTATATTCCTGGTAACACCGTTCCTGGAGAATGTGTTGACTGAGTCGCAGTCGAGCAGAGTCTCTGGTTGAATCTCTTGATTCCTCCCTCTCTTCCCGATACCAACCATATTTATATGGCCGGTACTCCACTATGCAAATTAGGTGGATCCTACCACAACAGAATGCTATAATTTACAGGGAAAGTTCACATATAACATACCTATGGATGGCTTAAGTAAGTAGATGACTGAACTGGGTCTGGGCGTTCAAAAGGATAAAATATATTGAAGAACTGAACATATATGTGGAAACTGGAGAAATGCATTCATAATAATGCAACACAAAATGTCCTGAAGGGACATTTGTTTTAAAAAAATAAGAAGTTTTTTTTTTTGGATAACTTTTGTTAATGTTTTTTCGACTTCCTTGTTGCTTCCGTCAAAAAATATTTTGGTGTTAATTCAGATAACCCAATATTATTAGTAAAAAAATGTCATCAGCAAATCCATTTTGAAAGTTTTAGATGCATTTCAAAAGACGTCCCTTTCTTGATGCATTAATTTTAGATTTAAATCTAAAATAACAAATGAAATTTAATATTCCATATGCACAATACTTGTTTTATGTATTTTAAACCGATTTAGATGGATTAAAATCTTTTCTCTTTATTTTATAATCTCTAAATTTATTCATATTGCAGATCTGTCAATGGTAAATAATGCACTTATTTTAATAAATCTTTCAAAAATAAAAAAATGACTTTTTTTTCTGAAACAATTTATTAAAAAAATTATTGATTTAAAAGTTTAATTAATTTTTTGATTTTAAACAAATTTTAATTACTTTTAGCTTAAAATAGTGCAGAAAAATTATTCTCTAACAAATGAACTATTAATTTTTTTTTTTGACGTGTTGAATCGTTTATTGACAGCCTGATGTTTGAGAAAATTAATTAATATATTCAATTTTACGAAAAATTATTGACGAATAAAACTTGAACGCCTTTTTGTAAGGTTTTTTTTTAACTTTTATGGCAAGTAATCTTCGAAAAATTAAAAAAATATTTTAAACAATTGCATTTTGTATCACTTTAACGCTGTAGTATAAATTAAAAAAAAGACACTTCACGCAAAATGTTAGAAAATTATCAATAAATTTTAAATTTATTAGATGTATAGTTTTCTTATAATGTCGATGTAAACATAGTCAACGTATTTACAAAATCGACGTTCTTATTATATGTCATTTTTTAAATAATTCAAAATCCTTTTTTTTTTACTTTTATTTCATTAAATTGTTCGTGATCTTTATAATTTATGATTAAACTGGCGCGTACTTTTATTTAATAATTTTATCATTTGGCAAAAGTAGACTAATTGCAAAATGTTTTCTTTGAAAACGTTAACGTTTAAAACCGTTTATAATTTATTCTAATTAATTTTTTTTTAAATTGAAAATAATGTAAAAATGAAAAGCTTCTGGGAAATTTTTGCTTCAGATAATATTATCCATAATTACTTCATTTATAAAAATAACAGTGAAAAAATTTTTTCAAATAAAAATATCTTAGTTTAATTGATTTTTTTTTCTACGATTCAGGGCAGCTTTTGCTGTAAATATGACTGAGTCAAGTTTGAGCAGTATATTTTGATGATTTAAATTATTCAAGAAGCTGTTCTTATAACAAATATAAACATTAAAAATTTTTAATGTCAAACGGATAAAAGATCAAGAAAGAAATTTATAAAGATTTAAAAAAAAAAAGGAATATTCCAAAATAATTCCATTCATTTCCGAGCAAGTCTTGAAAATGTTTCATTAACATCCAACAATCATCTGAGCTTTGCAAAAATTTCCAAACATTGGCTTGAAATTCTTTTTGTCCCTCAAAATTTTTTGAAGACTAAGTCAATGCCATGTTTTGTCAAAAAAAAAAAATTTTTTTTAGTTAAAATTCCCAGAGTTATAAAAAGTATAGAAAAAATAATTTTGATCCAAAAAATTTTTTTTTCTTTCATCTTAATAAAGGTAAAAATCTTGACGATAATTTATATATATATTTTTCGGATGTTTGGGAAATTTTTTTTGAACAGGTATTCTTCGATATTAGCGAAATTTTAGAAAGTTCATTGTTTGAAAATTTTCATTTATGTTTACTTCCATCTCCACATCTCAAATAATATAACAAATCTTATAAAATTTTTTAAATAAAAAAAATTAAAAAAAAAAAAACAAGATTATTTCTTTTTTCATATTGAACATTTAAAATGTGAATTTTATTTTTCCCCATTTTTCCAATTAATACAGACATTTAAAATTCAGGCTCCTTCGGGAGAAAAAAGACTCTTCCTAAAAAAACAAAAACGTCCCCAAAAGGGAAATTGAGCAAATTTTCCGTAATTTATGCAAAAATAAATTGATTTAAACCTTTGGTTTCTTAATATTCATCACCGAACTTAAAAATTATAAATATTGCCTGGTCAGTTCTGGATGGGTGATCGCTTGGGAATACCAGACTCAGTAAGAAATGTTCGATGGTGTTAAATTTTTCAATTTTAAATCGGATAACTGAAACCCAATTCCAGTTGGGCTCGTTATTCACTTACGCCAAATATTCTTGGTGCACTGTGAAAAATTATGAATCTACTTCTTCTCCCTCCAGCTATGGGTTAATTTTTAACATTGCATCACTAAAAAAAAAAAAAAAATAAAAATAAAAATACGTATATAATTTAGGATTTCGGCATTAAATAATCCATAGAAATTGATATACCACTAAATTTAAAATTTCTCAAACCAATCAATTTAAATTTCGACTTTTTTGACGCATTCGATAGCGACGCGGACGCACTGTTTAATTCCTCAGGCAGAACTATTCATAGGCCAATTTGTATTTGTGTTAGTATATTATACGTGTAGGTGATTGTTTGGATATGTTAGTGTATATTTAATTTTTATATATATGTATATGTTTGCGTATGTGCGTTAGTGCGTGTTTGTATGTAAATATTATTCGGCAATCAATTTTCCAAATTTATAATTATTTTATATTTCCAAAATTTAAATATAAATTATAAATTTATAGTTGACATACTAAAAAAAAAAAAAACCATGTCAATTCAACTCTTCAAACCTTAGAGCATTTTAAACAACAGGCTGGATGTGTTTAATGTGATATTCATGCCAGGCAACATTGTATAATCCCATCTCGTATGCGCATTCCAGTCTACGGACACATATATTGCCAAATGATATCGTTTGATGTTCGAGGGCGGCCCTCGTTCCAATTTATTCCGTCATGCGGACTCGTAATTAATTCCTTTGTGCGAATCACTGCACATGCGCAGTGCGCAGACGCAAACGAATGAATGGAAATAGATCAGAGAAACAAAATGTCTTAAAAGAAAGATGAAAGAAATTTCGTGGTGAGAACAACAACAATTCAACAACAAAAATACTGATATGTCTCAAAGTTGATATTTGTATATCTTTCTTTATATTTTTTTCAAGGCGTCGATTTCAAAACACAAATTTCCAGCAATGGAAGCAAAAAGTTGTCCTTGAATCCTAGTTTGCAAAAGTTAATGCTTCGGTCAATTTGACCGCCTTTCTTTGTCATAAAACAAGACCTTTTTTTAGAAGGTTCTCGTTAACTTCAATTTGGCGGTTATCTTTTGTTTTAATTCTTTTAAATACTTGACCCCACTTTTTTAAGACAAATATTATTAAAGTTGCAAAGAATAGGAAATTGTGGAGAACCATGAACAAACATAATTAGAAAAGAAAATAATTAAATGAAGGTAAGAAAAAAAATAAACGACGAAAAAAGAAAGAAACTAAGAAACAAATAAAAGGAAAGTGAAAGGTGAAAGAAAATCTTGAAGGAAGAAAAAGGAAGGAAGAAGGAAGGAAGGAAAAAAGGAAGGAAGGAAGGAAGGAAGGAAGGAAGGATTTAAAGGAAGGAAGGAGCAAAAAAATAATTTTACAAATTTATGATGTAAGTCCGACATTTGGGACTCTGTTCCAGACAGGACAAAACTAAAAAATAAATTTTGGTATTGAGGGATGAAGACGAAAGAAAGAAAGAAAAAAAAGAAAGAAAAAAGAAAGAATCAGAAAGAAATAAAGAAAGAATAAAGAAAAAAATTGAGCATTTAAATTCCAAAATGTATTGTTCGAAAAAAAGCAAATATATAAGAAATGAAAAAGAAAAAAAAAAAAAAGAAAGAAAGAAACTGACATAGAAGAAGGGAGATTAAATGTCTAAAATTTGAGAAAAAAAAAGAAGATGGACATAAAGGGTTTGGAAGGAGATGAAACGAAAAGTAGAAAGAAAAGAAATAAAAGAAATAAGAAATAAATAAAATAAAATATATAAAATAAAGAAGGTGGACATGGAGGAAAGAAGGATATAAAATTCCTTAAATAAAAGAAAAAAAAATGAAAAAAAAAAGAAGTTGGGCTTATAGGAAATAAGACGAAACGAAAAAATTAAAAGAAATAAAAAAGTTGAGTATAGAGGAAAGAAAGAGAGGAAACGAAAAATTGAGAGAAACAAACAGTTTGTGTATAAAGGAAATAATAAGTCAGCTATGTGCCATGCGTGATACATGCTTTATATATTCATATATATACTTTATATACATGACTGACGAGGCATATATTTTTTTCCCGCAGTATATTATAATTTTTTTCTGCGGTAGAAAAGTAACAAAGAATTCTGCTATTTACCCATAGCTGGGGTTAAAGAGGAGGATATAAATATAAGGTATTAGCACGTAAGAGAATGTAATGGATTCGAAATGGAATTCGAACTCTGCCTTCTGATTCCTCAATCCGAGTCGCTATCCATTATATATATATATATATGCCTCAGAATATATATATATATATGTATAAAATATTACATAAACAAAAATAAATAAAAAATAAGTTACTGAGAATGGTTATATATATATATATATATATATATATATATATATATATATATATATATATATATATATATATATTTAATGAAAAAAAACAGACCACTTTAAGGTACCATTACAATAATTTATTTCACCAAAATCCTTTTAAAGGACTCCGGATCATCAGGTAACAATTCCAACAACGAAATGAAAGGAAAAAAATGGGATTAGAAATTGATGGGTAGTGTAATTTTTTTGTAATTTAACAGGGGGTGAGAGTGGTAGGTAAAAACAAGGTAGAGTATAGGGAGGGGTTAATTTCATATCTCTCTTAAGCATGCTTTATATTGGGGTAGGAGGAGGACCGAACCTTGACCTATTTAGATGGTTAACTTAACGGAAATGATATGTAGGAATGGGAGGGGAAAAAAAAAGAAAAAAAAGAGAGAGAGACAGACGACAGTAATACCGATATATCCAAATGAGTATTACGGCAAAGTGAGAGGGGGAGGGAAGTGAATCGAAAGAGGCTGTAATTTTGTTTTAACACAATTATGTAAAAGATAGATTTCAATGCTTGATAGAAATTTAGATGTCTAAAAAGTGATGAATGTTATCAATTTAAATATTTTATTTTTTAAGTAAATAGTTTAGGGACTTAATATAAGTTAACTACTATTATCATTAGCATATTTATCGAAAATATATTAAAGAAATACTTAAAATTATAATAGTTTATTTACTCGACTAATTGTATTTCCATAATATAGTAAGAAAATAACGGTAACAATAACATCTATATTATTTTTACTTTTAATCTAATTTATGAATGCAATTTTTATTTATTATTATATGGGTAAACTTAATTAAGGTTTAGGTTTCATCATTTAATAATATTTCAGGGTAATATTAAAGATTTTGTTTTCTTCTATCTCACAAACATATTCATGCAAATCCATATAGACACACGTGTAACAATATACACAAATGTTCATCAATCTTCATACATAAATTATATATACATACATTTCTCAATCTTTACCTATATTTTAATATTTGAAATTTATTTACATTTTAGTTTGATTCTATAGTTAAAGTTAAACTTTAAATAGTTAAAGAATGGTATATTTAAATTTAAATTATCAATTTTAAAATGAAACTTCCTTAAGAAGATAAAAATACACTCTCAAAATTCTAATTATAGAACATTAAAAGAGAAAGTGATATTAAATATTAAAAAGAGTAATTTTAAAATACCATTAGAATGACCCAAGTACTTCCATTCAAAACTATTCCATACACGTATACACACATACATACATACATACATACACACACACACACACATATATATCTATATATATATATATATATATATATATATATGCATACATATCTATTTATCAATCTATCTATCTAACTATCTATCCATCTATATATACACATATACATATAGGTCTACTCATATACACATACACACCCTTATATACATATACAACCATATATATACACACATACATACATAAAAACATATACCTACATATACACACACGATTATATACATAAAAAAGCATATGAAAAGAATTCTACCCATAACTATCCACACATGCATATGCATTTATATTACAATGTTATACATCTATTCACACATTTATTACAAATATTAATTCTAAGGTATATACATCTATATACATATACAAATTACAAGTAATTTAATATTCAAAATACTACACATATATAAATATATGTACCCATATATATATATATCCGTACATATACATACAATATACATATACACATATATCTACACACATGCACAAATACATATCTATACACATACATCCACACATATGTAGAATACACACACACACATATAAATATATATATAACGATATCTAGCACAAAAGTAACGTTAGTACCTAAACATACCCCATACTTATATATTTATACTCACACATATGTATATATATATACCTATATATATACACACATACCTCCATACACATGTGCCCACAATTAAAAAAGTACTTATATCCATATAAGCACCCTTATCCATAATGTTCATATATATATATATATATAGAAATATATATAAATAAATTCATATATAAATGTCTAAGTTCATCCACGCACATATCAACAAGCACAGTATCCATGTATTCATACATTCATTTCAAAAAACAAAATTAATATTTTCTCTTTTTATATAGTTGTATCTAAACATACTTCGTTAAATTGAGGTGGTTTTTGTGTTTACAAATCAAAAAAAGGGCTTAAACACTAATATTAATGTTTAAGCCTTTTTATTATATCCTTACTCTTTCCTGGACATTGAGTTCTACCTGGATTCTATCCTCTCGGAATTTCTTATTCAAAAAATATACATATATGTGTATGCACCTATGTATATATATTTATATATTTTGCATATGTATGTGTATATTTATCACTAATATTATCAATCTCTCTCTCTCTCTCTCTCTCTCTATATATATATATATATATATATATATATACAGTTTTCAGCTCTCCTTTGCTTCTGTTTTATTTATTTATTTATTTTTATCTCAATTCCATCTTTCTGCGACTCGATTTCGAGTAATAACATGCGCTTGACTAATACCGACGTACAGGGCACTTTGATGTGCTTTCATGGTTAGCAGCTTGACTCGCCAGATCAGGTAAGACTGAGTAGTGAGTTCGATCCACACGCACACATAATCTCTCTGTAATTTTGTTACGCTCTTCGATACTATTCTCGAAGACGTTTGGCCCTTTTGTTCTGGGTTTTTGCTGTGTTCCGCCGGAACAGTGAAATCCGTTATTGAAAGATCATTTTTAGGGAATTTGCGTCTGTTTTTTGTTTTACTCTTCTTTTTTAAAACCATATATTAATCATTTTCCTCCAAGCAATGCAATAAATCCACTAAGACACAATGAAGGTTATATAACCTGAGAGAATATGAGAAAAATAAAACACTATTAAGGAGAGAGAAGTATATAATAAACAGGAATTAAGGAGACAGAATATAACGACTGACATTGCATTTAAACTTTTGAAGACCAATATTAATTAGAAATCATGGAGCCCAAGAAAACTCTACAATGAGAACTGCGAGAGAAGCAACTTCTAGCATAGAACTTAGGGCTATATCTAGCCATTTTATCTGAAGATGACTTGATCCTTCTTCCAATCTAATAGTACACTTACATTCATAAAGTCTAGGTACCATATAGGAAATACCATTAGAACAATTACCATAAAATCATTTATAGAAAGACACAGGGAAACTACGTTACGGTGGTGGGAATGTGTCTGACGCCGAGATGTCAGGTCAGGATCCATAACATTGCAGACTCTTCTTTAGATTTTATCAAGAATCTCTAAATACATACCAGAGGCAACAGATAAGATGTGACTGCAATATTCAAAGCATAGTCGAATTGTAGACTTGTAAAGAGGTCAGATTTTTTTCCATGAGTATATTCCTTTGTTCGATCTGATAAAAACGCAATTGCTTGCAAAATTACGATTAGTACAGTCTTCCCACCCACTCATACCTGTTTCAGTAACCCCTTCTGGGCTAATTTACTGCATTCGCTTACTGCGTGTTTGATAGACTCTTCTTTATCTCCACATTGTGCACAATTTACGTTCTCTGTTCTAGTAAGATCTTAGCCTATATAAGATTTATTAGAATCGATCTATTGGATTATTAGTATTATTGTTGTTGTTGTTGTTGTACACACTGTGTTTACCCTCCGACTAGAATTTCTAGAGTTTGCTGATGCTCGCAACAGTTCAAGTAAATACGCCTCATCAATATTTCAATACAATGTTCTCGATTTCAGCTCAATTGTTCAATAAAGAATTCAATAATGAGTTCAATAAGAATATTGTCTCGAGCGATATCAGTTATTGCGACCTTATGTTACGGATGCCCTAGTTCTTCTTCTTCTTCTTGCGAAAACAGAAGCGAAGGAGAGTCGAAACAAGTGCAATAGTGTATTTATTATTATTATTATTATTATTATTATTATTAATAATAATAATAATAATAATAATAATAATGCTGAAACATTAGGTTTTCTTATTTGAATTTTTTGATGAGTGTTAAATATTTTTTGTTAATAATTTCAACCCAAGTAAAGTGATAAAATAAACTGGCAACATGTTATTCATCATCATCACCATTACCATCATGTTCTTCTTTTTGTAGCTGTTGTTGTTGATGTTATTATTCAACATCCTCTTCTTCTTATTATTATTTTTTATCATCATTATCTCTTCTAAAGTCCTACTTCCCGCTTTGAACCTTTTACCAAAAGATAGTTTTGACCTGCTATATATTTAACCGCATACCCGAAATCCAGCGGCTTGCACATGTCCCAATAACGCACCGTTCTCACCCAATCAGATCACATTTTCGCTTTTGAGTTAACGCATAGCGATAATTTATTATTATCCACAGTGTTAAGTTTCTTTTCTCATTCTTATTTATTTTCCTATTAATATTTGTCTTTTTTTTATCTGAATCTGTTAAACTATATCATATTTAAATGATATTGTTTTATTTGTAAACAGAATACTTTTATATTTGATAAGATCAACACATATAAAATGCCATGCATATTCCTAACACGATATCTGTATATTTTTGCGGGTAACACCAGAAAAGTTCACAACTTGGAGATTGGTGAAGTGGAGGAATAATGTTATCGAGAAGAAGAAGAAGAAGAAGAAAAAGAAGAAGAAAAGGAAGAAGATGAGCTGAAACAACAACTGTAATAAATATGAAGAATGCAAAACATAAAAAATAGGCGACAAATGAAAAGGATAATAAAAAGTAGTGAATAAAAGAATAGTGTAAGAAGAAAAAGAAAAGGTGAATTGAAGAGCAAGACAATATGTTAAGGAAAGAAGAAGAATAGAAGAAGAAGAAGAAGAAGAAGAAAAGAAGAAGAAGATGAAGAAGAAAAGAAGAAGAAGAAGAAGAAAAGAACAGAAGAAGAAGAATAGAATTGGAATAGAAGATAAGGAAGAATAAATGATGAAGAATAGAAGAATAAGAAGTAAACGATTAGAAGAAGAAAAGAATAAAAGAAGGAGAAGTAGAATAGAAGAAGAAGTAAAAGAATAAAAGAAGATGAAGAAGATGAAGAAACGATTAAGAATAGAAGAACAAGTAGAAAATTAGTAGAAGAGGAGGGGGAAGAATAGATGAAGAATAGAAGAAGAAGTAAAGAACAGATGAAGAATAGAAGAAGAAGAATAAGAAAAGATGAAGAATAGAAGAATAAGACAGAGAAGATTACAAGAAAAAGAATAGAAGTAGAATAGAAGAAGAAATAAAAGAAGAGAAGAAGAAGAATAAAAGAAGATGAAGAAGAATAAATGATGAAGAATAGAAGAACAAGTAGAAGATTAGTAGAAGAGGAGGAAGAAGAAGAAGAAGAATAGATTAAGAATAGAAGAAGAATTAGAAGAAGGACTAAAAGAATAGAAGTTGAATTAGAAGAAGAAGAAAAAGAATAAAAGAAGAATAAGAAGTAGAATAAAAGAATATGAAAAAGAAGAAAAAAGATGAAGAATAGAAGAAGAAGAAGAAGAAGAAGAGTAGGAGGAGGAGGAGGAAGAAGAAGAAGAAGAAGAAGAAGAAGAAGATCACACACATTAATTTTCATGATTGTGGATATATGTACAAGTTTTCGTTTATGCAGCAATTTTATTTTTCATGTGCTGAAGAAAATCTGAATTCTACTGAGAAATAATCCTGTTTGTCTATTTAGCAAGAAATAAGAAAAGCAATTTAAATTCATCTTTCGAAAAAAAAGGAAAGTTAGCTATTGTCTAAGGCATATTGGTATGTCAGGCAAAATATTCCTTATCTGAAATGTCTAATGGAGTTATCGGAAGACCTAAGATTACATACGACAAAAAGAAAGAGAAATTACAAAAATATGTTATCTCTTGCTCAAATTATTTAAGAGATTTCTTGTTTTTTTGTTTTTGTTTTTTTATTTAGCAGAAATTGAAAAGAAAAACTCAAAAAGTTGACGTCAGTGATGGTTGGAAATGTCAAGTGTAATTGTAGCAGGAAACAAGAATATGAAATAAAACAAAAATCATTTCCATTTAAATTCAGGTTTTACATGCAATGTATCAAAATATTTGTAAGAAAAATGCTGAAGAGTTGCTAACACATAGAATCAATGTGTGTGTGTGAGAGAGAGCGGGGAAGCGGAGATTTTTTTGTGTTTTCCGTGTGAATTACGTGTTTTTTAAGAAGATATAATATTTTGTAATTAATTGTTTATTCTTTAGAAGCATGCTTTGTTTTAAGCATACTGCCACTAAGATGGAAAAAAACGCACAAGATATCAAGGGGAAAAATACTGACGAAAACAACGCATCGATCTATCTATCTCAGGTTCATCTATTTTAATAAGCATAAACGTAACTGCCAGTTTATCTATACACCATCGATTAAAAGATCCGAGTCAGATACTATCTAGACGTCGGTGTATTCAATATCATTTCTGATACGTGCATGCACACAATAAATTATTAACATAAGATCCATTGTTCTATTATATAGCGTGCGCGACAATTGCTTTTATTACCTAGATTAAGTATAGGGATTTTCTATTCTAGCTTAGATGTGGCACAAGGCCGAAACTGAGGATCGAACTCACTATTCAGATGTAATTCTTCTAGCGAGATAAGCTTGCTAACCATTACACCGCCCCGAGATGACCACAATTTTCTAAACGTAGCTTAGATGTGGCACAAAACAGAAAGTATGTGGGCCCCCAGTGAGGATCGAACTCATTAATCAGTCGTAATTGTTCTAGCACGATAAGCTTGATAACTATTACACCACGCAGAGATGACCAAATATAGTGATTTTCCAAGCGTAGCTTAGATGTGGCACAAGGCCGAAAGTATGGGGCACCCAGTGAGGATCGAACTCACTACTCAGTGGTAATTGTTCTAGCGAGACGAGTTTGCTAACCATTACACCGCCCAGAGGTGCCCACGATTTTCTAAACGTAGCTTAGATGTGGCACGAGGCCGAATGTAAGGGGCACCTCCGTACTCAGTCGTAATGGTTCTAGCGAGACAAGCTTGCTAACCATTACACCGCATCGAGTTGGTCTTATCTAGATTTAGTCTAATGTGTAAAGCGGGCTGAAAGTGTGTTTTGAATTCAGCCAAAGGTTACACGAAAAATCATGTGTGTGTTATAGCGTATCTTAGCCGCGAAGGTTAGAACTGGTGGAACTAAGGAATATAGTTCGCCTGAACATTTTCCATGGAAATAGCGATAGACCAGCGACAGACATCTAACGTTTCGTCTGTGAGAAACGGGTTGTTGGGTCTTCAGTTTTATTTATTACTACTCAAAATTTCGCAGAGATATATTATATCGTCCGTAAAATTGAATTTAAAAAAAATAAAACCTTTGAAATTTATTGTCACTATCAATAGGTTTCTGACGAGTGAACAGACGGGTAATTGAACTTCTAATTTTAACTACAACTATTAATGCTCCATCACTTGATACAGAACAATTTATTTACAAAGACTTCTTCCTCTTCTGAATCTTTTGAGTATTAAGGCGATCATGGCTCTCCACATCTTCCCATATCGTTTTGTTTATAATAGATTTTTGTCCTTGTACTAAGGGTCACGTATTCCGTTCAGCTATCCGTTAACACAATTTCGTCAGGTAGGTGGCACTCTGCCTTCCACTATCTCTCTTGTTCATAATATGCCCTGTGAGCGTTAAATTATGCAAGTCTTCCTCCCACATAATGTGTTCAAGGAATTTCTGCTTTTTCATGGGTCTGAGTAGAAGTTGTCTTTATGTTACCATTTTCTGTAAGACCTCATTGTTGATTACGCGATGAAATTTTCAGCATTCTCCTGGAAAACCACATTTCTGCTACCTCCAGTTTTCTCCTTATTACTAAGGATAAAACCATTTTTTGCGAGGAAACAAAATGTGCAATTATATATATATATATATATATATATATAGAGAGAGAGAGAGAGATAGATAGATAGATAGATAGATAGATAGATAGATAGATATAAGTAATGGAAAGGATAGATAGATAGATAGATAGATAGATAGATAGATAGATAGATAGATAGATATAATGTTGTAACTGAGTTATCAAAAGGAACATTAGAAAACTGGATTTGGTTTGGGTACAGGGAAACATAACGTAAAATAGAAACTAAAGAAGAGAGCCGTGAATTACTAACTGTTTTCAGCAAAGGCTGCTGCTCTTCGCGTTACTCCTCTTGATGTAGGTGTATTTTTATGTCTTTCGTTCGACGGCCGAGTCCAACCTTGTATGGAAATATTCTTCCTCACAACATATAATAAAAAGTTAATGGTCAGAGTTTAATTAGACCAGTAAAAAGTATTTTTAAACATAGTGAATACACATATAAACAGATAAACATTTAACATGTAGAGCTTTTAAGTATAGAACAATTAGAAGATCAGCTGATTCCTCTGCTTTGATTTCTTTTCACCCCACTTCGCATGAACTCAAAAGGAACTTTTTAGTATGTATACAACGGGACATAATTTCCGATGTCTCATTTTAGGGGTCTGGAAATGTTATCATAGCTAACAGCCATTGTTGACAAATTTTGCAGATTTTTTTTTTTTTTTAAATATATAGCGTTCATTATATTTTATTAATTTTATGGTACCTTACTCATAATAACATAATGGACTATTCCATACGTAATAAATGCTGCACCTCAAGAGTAAGCTGAGTTTCCGTCTGAAGTCTGAGTTTCCGTCTGAAGTCTGGTTTTCCGTCTGAAGCACAGAGTTCAGTCTGAAGTCTGGAGTGAAGTCCGTCAGAGCGCGTCAGTCAGTCGAGTCAGAGGCAGTCCAAACAGAGTCACATTCAGACAATTACTACTAAACCTGATTGTTCGTACTAACACTTTTCTTCTTCCTGTTTGTAATATATCTGTGTTATTCCATATCCGTATTCGAGTTCTTCTTTATTGGTTCTACCTTGGACTATCACCGTGGTACAAGGAACCAGACCATAACATAAATAAAGCTTTAGGAGATCATTTGACCGAAATCGCCTGAAGATGCTGAAAGATTGAAACCAAACGGCTGATCTCCTAATTAATACATTTTATATACCATAATTCGATTAGTGCATATATCGTACTTGATTAGAGCGATGAAAAATTGCTTAGTTTAACTATAATAATTGAAAATTCATTTTTTTATAGTTAACGATTATTTAAAAAAAAACTTCTAAAATTTAAAAATGGAAAATTATTTCTTTCTCAAAAATTACGTTAACAATATTAGCGTTAAAAATGGACGGTTATAAATAGATACATTATATAAAATAAGCCGATAATAAAAATACATATCTGAATATTTGTCAACATTAAAATTTTTTGAATATTCTGATATTTTAAAGGTCATAAAGAAAGTTCGAGAATTTTTGTTAAAAAGTGGACGATATGAATAGACGCAGAAATTAACATTTATTTAAAAATATCGAAATATAAAAGATGTATGCATTTATTATTGAAATATTATAAATAATATTTTCCGATTATTTTAATGATTATGATATTTTATGAAAATCTGAAGGAGCAATTTCTCAGTACCGCCAATTATATGAAGAACAGGGGAAACCATGCAGTAATCCACTCTAAGTAAGGTTTTAATATAAAATCAGATTAATACACATTAATTCATAGCATTTTTATTGTATCTACTAACATGCAGTGATATTTTAATTGCAAAGTAAACTAAATAGAAATTAATTGTGAGGTACAAATTTCATCATTATCTATAAATTCTTATATTCGATTAATGCGCATCTTTTAATGTACCCATTAGCCGCACAAATCTAGGGATTACTATATATACATATATATATATATATATATATATATAAAAGGCTTAAACACTAATATTCCATGGTCATAATTTATTCCATTGGAATCGTAAATACGATCCAATTCATCAGACCTACAAATTCAAAAAGAAAACAGAAAAAACAACTCCGGAAATAAAAATAGAATTTAGAGAGAGTGTAAGTATGAGAGTGTGTGACGAATGTTAGAGATAAAGAGAGGGGTAACAGACGAGAGAAGGTGGGAGATTAAACCGTAACAGAGAGAAGTTTTAGAGAGGCGAGTTGAAGAGGTTTAAGTGAGAGAAATATGAATGTTGTCGGATGTCTAATACATTAAAGATGTAAGCGGAAAGGATACATTTCGTGGTGACATACACACATAATAGACGAACTAATCTTAAAGATCAGAAGAGGAATGGAGAGAAAAGAAAAAAAAAATGGGGTGGGGAGGAGATGGGGCGGGGAAAACTAAAACTGAAGTGCGTTTACTGAAAGGGCCGCTCTGTAATTAAGAAAATTTGACAAAATTAATATCGACTACAGGTTACAAATCAAATATAACAACAAACATATAAAAATATTAGATATATATATATATATATATATATATATATATATATATATATATATATATATATATATACGACGGAGAAAAAGCATCATATAAGAAATAAAAATATAAGACTACTAAAATAACTGCTGAGAGAAAACAAAAGTACTGCCCAGATTAAAAACAAACTTATTCAATATAGATTGGCAAAGTATTGAAAGTACTTTCAGAGACAATGTCGAGAAATGTATCGGTAATCTTGGAGCAACAATAAAAAAGATTGTAAGAAGAAAAAATTAATAAATGTCTACTGAAAGTAAACATCATTGTGCTCTTCAATCAAATATGAAAGAAAAGAGTAAGTGTAACAACAATAAGTATTTTAGATACATACATACATACATACATACATACATACATATATATATATATATATATATATATATATATATATATATATATATGCAACGATGTCCCAACCGTGTTATCTCAGAGGAAAAAGATGACAGTTATTACTAAATACTGAATAACTTACAACGACCACTGTTTTATTCAATAATAGCACTATATGAGCAATGTAGTATATATATATATATATATATATATATATATATATATTAATATATATATATATATTAATATATACAGAGCAATTTATATATACACATATATATGTATGTATATATATATATGCATAATTATATATATATGTATATATATACACACACATGTATATCTATATTTTGATATCTATCTATCTATCTATCTATCTATCTATCTATATATATATATATATATATATATATATATATATATATATATATATATATATATATATATATCGCATACACGGCTGGTGTCAATAAAAGAACGGTCGTTGTAATACAACAAATTTATTAAGTATATAGTAATAACTATACATTAGTTCTCTCAACGATAGCGCGATTAGGACCTTCATCTTCATGCATATCTTTCTCTCTCTCTCTCTCTCTCTCTCTCTCTCTCTCTCTCTCTCTGTATATATATATATATATATATATATATATATATATATATATATATAGTGTAACAATATAAAAAAATTTAAATTTAAATATATATATATATACGTGTGTGGGTGTGTGATTGTGTGTGTTATTGGATAATAAGTGGTAAAAGATGAGTTTGCAAGCGATATGATGGTATGCACGAATTCAAATATGCAGCCACAAATATATAAAACGAGTGCTTATATAAAAGCATATTAATATGGGAATACGGCACTCAAATGTATGCGCCAGCTCTGTATTTGCAGAAATATTAACAGGATATAAAATGTTACACATGGCATAACCTAGATATATAATAGATAGATAGTTCATGAACAGACTATGATATAAACACACACACACACACATATATATATATATATATATATATATATATATATAGATAGATAGATAGATAGATAGATAGATAGATAGATAGAATTGAGTAAACATAGAGACTTTGGGAGATGTGCCACAGAATCAAAATATAATTTCTGCACGAAAAACTTTGTTGAAATGCCCTTGGTACACATGCATACGCATAAACACAACGATACATTTACACCATCAAAAAAAAAAACAGCCAGGAAAGGAAAAAAAGAGAACAATGATTTAAAACAAATACTGGCCAATATCCACGAAAGAAAGATTATATGCAAGAAGTTCGCAAAAATAGCGATAATCATTGACAGATGAAGAAAAGTATGAAAGCAAAATTTAAACGATATTAATAATGAAGTTTCCTTTCTTTTTGGGTTTTCGTTTTTTCACAAAAGTAAACTCTTACCGAAAAATATGACCCTGCAGAAAACAAACAATGGGGAAAGGAAGTAGAATTAAGAAATGTAAGACGTGGAATAGGAAATTCGAAAGGTATAGAAGAATGGATGAAATAGAACGCAACTGACGAAAAGTCACTTAGAAATCAACAGAAATCCAAGAATAAAAGTATGAAAGAATGCTAGTGAATAAAACAATGAAGGAAATGCAAGAAATGGAATTGTGCATTGGGTGAATGAACAGAAATGAAAGAATAAATGAAAGAAAGAATGCTGGTGAATGAAACGCACGAAATGGAATTGGGTGAATGAACAGAAATGAAAGAATAAATGAATGAAAGCATGCTGGTGAATGGAATGTAAGAGGTGGAATTGGGCACTGGGTGAATGAACAGAAATGAAAGAATAAAAAGAATGCTGGTGAATAAAAGAATGAAGAATGCGCAAGAAATGGAATTGGGCATTGGGTGAATGGACAGAAACGAAAGAATTAATGAATGAAAGAATTATGGGGAATGGAAGAATGAAAAAAATGAAAGAAATGTAATTGAGCTTTCGGTGAATGGACAGAAATAAATGAATTCATGTGAATAAAAGAAAGAAAAGTATTAAATGTAACTGGGCATTGGTGAATTGACGGGAATGAAAGAATGAATATAGAGGAATCGAAGAATAAAGGAAACTTAAGAAATGGAAGAGGACATTAGGAGAATGGACATAAGTAAAAAAAAGGACTGAAAGAATGATGAGTGATGGAAGAATGAAGGAAACGTAAACAGTAGAATTAGACATCGGAAGACAGGATATACATAAAAAGAAAGAAAGAATACGAGGGAATGGAATATTGAAGGAGAATGGAAGAATAGGAATTCAAGAAAGGTATAAAACAGAAGTATTACGGAATGGAAAGAAAGGAATCAGTAAAAGAAAGAAATATAAGAACCAAATGATTTCGCGCCTTAAGTGTTGGCAAATTTATTAATGGTTAGGAGCAAGAAACTGAAAATAATATGAAAGAAATAAGGAAATTAAAGGGAAAAAATTCTGGAGAAGAAACATAGGTGAAAGAAAAAAAGCAAACCTATTTAAACAAGAAATAACAAAATGGTCAGGAGAAATGAAGAAAACCTCGATTTGAATTGATAGGCAAACATATTAAATGCTTCCTAGTCGTTACAAGAAGCGAAACGACGCAACTATCTCTTGTTTGTATTTCGAGTTTTATTTTTACATCGACTTTTTAAGTATTTTATTTTCCCACATTTTAGATGCGATTATTTAATGATGGCGATAATGGGTTGGCGTTTTTAGCCGATTTTCTTTATTGTTTTCTTGGTGTACAGCTATCCCACTTTTCGTTAGTAAGTGATTTTTAAGTTTTGCTTCTTTTTTTTTTTTTTTTCTTACCGAGTTTTCGCCATCATTGCTTACACTTTATTTATATTTTTTATTGAAATAGGCAAGGCAGGTTGAGGGTACCGAGAAAGTAAGGAATTGATAGTTCCATTTTCTAAAGTAATATCCTTTTGAGATTCCTGCTTGCTTAAATTGATTTTCCTGGGCCCATCTCCGGAATTCAGGAATTTTCACTATCCTATACTTAGACGATTTTCTTTGCTTTCCTAGTTTTTTTTTGTTTTTGTTTTTTTTCGAGTGGTTTCCTTTCACTTATTTTTGTATTGCTTATTTTTTTTTCTTGGCATTTTGTTTTGTTCTACACTTAATTTGTTGTTTGATTTTCCGAAAGGGATACTTTTTACCATTTCTCAATTGCTCATAGCTCAAGATGCTTAAAGTTTTACGCAACATTTCCTTCCAAATAGAATTCTGAAGAACATACCTTCATCGGTGAGAGGGTATTTACACACACACACACGCACACAAATGCACACATACACACACACTCATACACACACATATTTAAGCATACAAGTCAAAAAACTAAAATATAAATACATATATATATATATATATATGGATAAGTGTACATATATATTAATTCCGAGCATATATATATATATATATATATATATATATATATATATATATATATATATATATATATATATATATATATATATATATATATATATATATGATTATAGGATATCAATAGATTATAGGTATAGAGGTACGGTAGAATAGTAAGCGGCACGAATTGAGGAATCAGAGAGCCGAGTTCGAATTCCATTATATTCACTTACGTGCTAATACACTTCGTCTCCCTCCAGGTTCGGTAACCATTACACCCGGTTGAAGTGTAAATTAAATGATAGATAGATTTGAACACAATGAGATAGACAGATAGATGTGAACAGAATGAGATAGATAGATAGATAGATAGATAGATAGATAGATGTGAACAGAATGAGATACATAGATAGATAGATGTGAACTGACTGCAGGTAGACAGAGAGACTGAAGCATGGAATTTAACGTTGTATACATATTCACAATGTCACGTGCATGAGAAAATAGTTATAGAATATTGACTCAGAAATGCTATTCATTGTTGTTTCATTAGAATATGCTTCAAAAATTGAAGTTCAATTATATTTTATTCAAGTATATATTTACAATTATTTTCAATGACTTGTTGCCACATATCTGACAACTCTTCCGTTCATTTTGTGTAATAATTCACAGGTTTGAAAACGAAAAAAAATCGATGAATTCTTTAATCTGGTTTTCATTAGAGATAAATTACAACATCAAGGTACTTTGCTGTGATCGAAAAATGTAAGCTCTAGTGAATATAGTGGTTGTGGTAGGATCAAGTTACAAAATGATTTTGTCTATTATGCTTTTAATGTAATTATTGAGAACATTTCTTTTCTTCCGATTGACGAGTGTAAGACGAAAAGGTGGACTCATAACTCAAGGGTATTTGCACGTAAGCGAATATAAGGTACCCAACGGTAATTGGAACTATCCAAATAACAAATCCGAACCATTAATCATTACACCATTCCTACATCCCAACTTACAGGCTCTTACTCACAAGCCGTCACCCATCTTCGTACTGACCAAATTCAGCGTTGGTTTTATTCTGAACTGTCATGTATTATTAGTAATTAAGATGTCAAATGTCATTATATATGGTTCACCAAAATGATTTTTTTTAATTCAAATTATCTATCTATCTATCTATCTATCTATCTATCTATCTATCTATCTATCTATCTATCTATTCTTAAGCTTACGGGACTATCTATTTATCTATACTTAAGCTCACGGGACTCTCTATCTATCTAATCTTAAGCGTACGGATCTATCTATCTATCTATCTATCTATCTACTATTGAGCGGAGGAGAAATATCTATCTATCTATCTATCTATCTATCTATCTATCTATCTATCTCGATCTGCATACACGATGTGCGTATTATTGGTTTTGTACTACTACATGCAGCTAGAGGAAAACTGTTAATAATTTATGCAAATTGATAATTACACACACACACACACAAGCGCACGCACATATGTGTGTGTGTCAGAGTGATAAAGGCATACATATCAAGAATCAATTGATGGCAAAATGAAACAATTCATAATCAAAATGTTGAGACCAAAAGAATATATTGCCATAAAAACTTAATACCGAAATATAACAACAATTTAAAAAAAAAACCCAGCTAAACCGCGTCATTTCTACTTTCACATCAGAATAAAAATCAAGAACAAAAAATATGCGCAGCGACTAACAAATGGACAATTTACATAGGTTATGCGTTAATGTATCAGTTTCAGCCAATAGCTGATTATTTGGTTAAAAGCCAGCAACGTCCCAAGCCCGAAACTATACTCAGTTCTAAGTTGGGCGAATTCAGATTACCACTTAAAAGAGTTGCAATCGTTGATCATTAAGTCCTATCAGCCACCTCTCTTTAAGCGGAAAGAATGATTAGTGTGCATAAAGTAATTACCATCTAATATTATATTAAAAGTTAATGTAATATGTAACAATTATATGATGTTGTATAAATTTTAGTCGTTATGTATACTTTTTCCTCGATTTTCGCTGTAGTGAGAGCGGAGCAACAAGCCGACTTTTTAATCGTTGTTAAATGTTGGTATTACCATTTTACAGTAATGCACATTTTTGTTACCTCCTCTTTTTGTTATGGATTATTTAAGATTTTGTTATAAACTGTTTTATAATAAGTCTGCTTGTATCGCACTAACAAAATTTTGTACCCTTGAGAAAATACACCACCATCCCCCATATCTATCTATCTATCTATATATATATATATATATATATATATATATATATATATGTATATATGGACCCATATATATTAACGGTAAAAAAGACTGTTGAAATATCTATGGCACATAATGAGAAAACAGGCCTAAGAAAATAAGACACTCACAGGACATACTAGAAACAAGAGGGAAAGAGAAACAGTGCATAACCTACCTAACGAACTGTTTGGTACAACAGGGTTTAGGAGAGAGATAGAAAAAAATACAATATTTAATAAAAGCGGCAAAGGGGCAGGAAATTCAGAACAACCAATTATACCCACGGGTAAAAGGGACACGGACATTTAGAAGAGAAATATATATATATATATATATATATATATATTATATATATATATATATATATAATATATATATAATAATAATAATAATAATAATAATAGACTCTCCCGTCGAGATTCGACGTATGAGGGTCAAGCAGATCAGTTTCCAGGAAAGCGACAGCGGCACATGAGATTTGATTACAGTGGTGAAGGCATCGTGCAGGACCATCCACACTTTTTGAAGGGACGAATACAGAGACATGGTGCACCAAATGCCACATGGTTCCCAAACGACCCTCCGCAGGTTTTGAATTCAGAGTTGTCCTTCTCCTAGACCAGTTGCCTTCCAAGGCTAAAGAACCCAGTCTGTCCTGCTATTTTACCCATAGCTGGAGGGAGAGGAAGAGGATTCATACCTTTCCCAAGGGTATTAGCACGTAAGTGAATGTATATATATATATATATATATATATATATAATGATTAAAAATGTTTGAAAAAATAGAATGCTGACCAGAACAATACTCCAGTTTCGACTACTTTTGTCTCATAAGGTGTTTTGTTCAGCAAATCAACGACATGCATCCCAACAGTTTCGTTCGAAACCGGGAGTAGTGAGGGTGAAGTGTAAAAGATAGGAAAAAAAAATAAATATTTTATCTTTATCCGGGTTTAACTTAAGTTGTTGAGCTCCACATCGTTGATTTGCTGAAAAAACTAACTGAGGAGGCAATACTGGTCAAAACAGAGATAGTGTTTTGGTCAGCATTCTGGTCTCCCATCTTGGTATTGATCCCTTTTCATGCGTAAATATTTTCTAACTAATATTTCACTGTTTGTTTACTCTATATATATATATATATATATATATATATATATATATATATATATATATATATATATATATATATATATATTGTCTTTATTATTAA